CTTTCCCTGAAAGCAACTTTTGCCACCCCACGCACATCTCCTCTCGGAAAATCCTTCCCTGGCAAAACAGCAGCAGGTCCCCACTGCCTAGAGTGCTCGAGTACTGGCAACCTTCCACACCTGCTGGGGAGGTGGGCCTCTGCTCTCCTGCTGGGCAAAGGGGTGCCCTCTCCTACCACTGGGTTTGAGGCATTCTTTCATGTAATGGCAGGACAAAACCATGGTCTGTGCCATGCAACTGAGCAGGCAGGGGCCTGTGGCCACCCACGCATGGTGTCACTGCAACTGTCCTGCAACCGTGAGAGGGGTCAGCACTACTGGCCCCAGCAGACAACTTCCACCTGAAGGGAGACTGTGAGGACACGAGTCAATTGTATTTTCTGTGGTGCCCTGTCTGTTGGTGAAGGGAGCAGCCACAGACAGATCCCACCCTGTAATTTCTGTGCCTCTGCTTCCATGCCCCTGTGACTGCTTCTCCCCTTGCCTCTGTGCTTTCTTCTCTGGCTCCCTTGCTCTAACACACACACATGCAGAGCTTGCTAAGCAAGCATGTAGCCCAGGAACCTGCCTCACATGGACCTTGGTTTCTCTTTAGGCCTTACTGTATGTAGCTCCCTGCCTCGGGCAAGGACCACTTTATTCTCAGCTCTCACTACAGCAGGGGTTGTATTCCCTTTCTACTTGGTCTGAAAGCAAAGTGCAGGATGTACACAGTAGCTTTTAGTCCCGTGGCTGTGACCTGATCACAGCCCAACCTGACAGGCTGTGGCATCTCTCATTAACAGCACTTCCTCACAGGAGCCCTTCGGCACTACCAGGAGCCTTGTTCCCTACTCAGTGACTGGCTCTCACATCATCTCATTCTCTCTTTCTTGACAGATCATGTTATAACCTATGATCACAGAAAGTCCTGATCCTCACGTTTCTCTGCTGTCACCTGTGGGCTCTTCCAGAGCCGCGAAGATGGGGGAACTGCAGCCCCACCATAAGAAGACTGGGTGAGAAGTGCTTGTGACATCTTGGGGAACAGCCACACTTTGAAAGCTAGTTTTAACTTTTATTTTTAGCAGTTGTGAAAGTTAGTTATCTGCCTTCTCTCTCTAGAATTAGATTAGAGATAGTATTATTAATGGGGGAAAAGTATGCTAATTTGAACCACTCACAGAGGTGAATCAAACTACCAGCAAGTTACTGAGATTGGCTTCCAGGCATACACTGCCTCAGACTTCTCCTCAGATGGAAGATGTCTGTTGGTGCCTTACGTGGTCAGATGCCTCAGGTGTCTTAGCCTTCAGGGAGGAACAAGCCTCTTCAATCCCCTCCTGGTCAAGGTGGCTGTGCTGCCTGAATGGTTGGCAGCATGTGGAGAACCCAGCTGCACTACAAAGCAAACAGTCTGGGCTGTAACTTACGTGGTCGTGTCTTGCTTTACCAAGATCTCTTCCTGGGTGTTCAACCTGGTTGGCTCTTGCCTGGCTTATTATTTGGGACCATTGCCCCACCATCCTAGCTCTATGTTGCCCTTACAAGTCTCTGGCTAACCCCATATCCCTGCCCAATCTTATGATCCTTTACATATGGCACTCATTCCCTTTGCCTCTGGTTGCCAAGGGAGGTAGGGCTGTGGCAGACACTGATGTCTTGTGTGACTGCTGGCAAGTCCATGAGGCCTAAATTCTTAAATTTGGAGTGTCTCCATTCAATGTAAGGAAGCTCCTTCCACTTCCAAGGATAACTTAAGACCCTTTGCCTACATCCTGCTGACCCAAGCTGAAGTTTTGGGATTTAATTTCCTGCATTGCTCTGAACATGTGATTTAATCACCTAGATCCCCTAGGCCTTACAATGCTGAACACAGATCATTGGACACTACACCTTCCCTTTCTGGGCCTCCGCTGAGCTGTCATGAGAGATGATCATTTGGGCCTGTTGCTAAGGGGTCAGGAGGGTGCATTTGTGAAAGACTGTGAGGTAGCATTATCTCTGCACTGGAAAGGCCTTGGAAATGCTTTGCTACCAGTCACTAAACCATATGCATCTTCTATATGAAGGGTGAATCAGAGCATTAAGGGGCTGCAGTGTGACTCTCGGAGACAAAACCATCACCAGTCAGCCACCTTCTTCCTCCTTGCTAACTTGAGCCTTCCAGGAGACCATGCTGTCATGTCATCCTTCCCCACCCCCAGCCTCCTCCTTAACCACTTTTGTCTGCACCCTGTTCGAGGGAAAGAACCTATCTCTTTTAAACCTCCCATCTCCTTAGTGCTGCTGTGCAAGTAAGCTGAGTTGAGCAGTGTTATTGTGAGGGAATTGCTGAGGGCAGGTAGGATAAACTTCTCCAAATTCAGATGGGTAGTGTAAAGCCACTGTTGGCTTGGCTAGAGATGGAAAAGATTCCCTGCCCCAGGCCTCGCAGCTCATCTCCTAGTTATGCTACTCGGTTTCTACCCAATCTGTTGGTGTTTGGCTTCTGCGTTCCCTGGAAGCAGACCTGCTGTTGCATCCTGCGAGTCATCACCAGGCTGCTTCAGTAACTCATCTTTCCTTCCATTCACAGGTCTTCTGCGCATAGCGGCTCAACCCATGTGAAAGGTCTCTTATGAGAGTACCCAGCAGCACACTTTGCTGTCTGTGGTCTGTGGACATTGACTGGCATCTAAACGTCATCCCAGCTCCCTCCTCTCCCCCTAGACGCCACTGTCTTAGAGCCTCCGTGTGCATTTGCTATGACATACATCAGTGTTGATGAGAGACAGGAACACTGCCGGGTGATTGTGAGCTGCCAAAATAATCAGCTCTATGCACAACATGGCTTAAAGGATTTTTCAGTTAGCAGCATGCATCCACTAAAGAACCTAGACACTCGTATTTTTTCGGGGGACTTCCACACTCTAGACTCCTGCCACACAGGCAAGGCACCTTTGGGCAGTCCTGTGGAAAACCGGATGTATCGGAGCGTGGAGAACCTTCACTGGGCGACTGGTGCCGACTCTGGGCTCTATTCTCACTGCCGGAGCCTGGATAATGAGATCATCTTTCGCTATAGAGGAACCAGTCAGTGGACAAGAGGCTGTGTGGATGTGGCCCCAGTACAGAGCACATCGGACTCTCTGAGACACCTTTCTCTCCATGCCAAACAGACATCTCGATCGGCACAGAATGTGTTCCTCCCTCCCTTTGCCAAAGTGCCTCAGTGGCTTTTCCCTTCTGCAGAGGAAAAAGCTCTACATGGGGAAGCCAAAAAAGAGCTGAAAGAGAAGCTGAGGCTGCACAGCAGTAAGGTGGCAGAGCCCTGCAAGCCAGTGCGTCCAGAGGCAGCCCTGCCTGACCTTATGGCCCGAGAGTTTTTTGAATGCCAGATGTGCCAGCAGTACAAGAATGGCTGTGCTGTCAACTGCTGCACAGTTTTGGTGGAGCACACTGCTCTCAGGCACAGCCTCACAGGGAGGCAGGGACTGTGTTTTGCGCACAGGATCATCAGTCCAGAAGACATCAAGCAGGAGGCTCAGAGGAGGCTTCAGCTCCGAAGGCAGAATAGCTCCCCCAATTTGCCCCTTCAGCATGCCAGGGAAAGCCTTGAGATGTCCAAATCCAGAACAGCAGAAACCCTGGAAACGGATGTCAAAGTCACATTGGGACAGAGCAAGAAAGGCCGCTGCAAAGGGAGGCTCTACATACCCACCTTTGAGGAATTCAAGCAAATGAGAAGTAAGGAGGCAAATTCATCTGCCAGCATCAGTGGGCCAACCGAGTGCTTGAATACGGGTCTGCCTGCAAACCGGACCCTGGAGGAGGAAAACAATAAGGACATCTGTCCAGAAGCTCTGGAGACCAAAGCTGTGAATGACTCTGCTATCACAGCAGAGGATGACGACGATGTGTTCCCTGAAAACCACACCTCTGCTGGCTTTTCCCAATATCCAGCCACATGGGATAGTTTCAGAATGAGCAGTCCTGAGGTGAAGGACAGAACCTTCCAGATCTCCAGCCCAGATAGACCCCTGGTCCCCATTTGCTCTAGCCCTATTCCGCGATCACCTTTGCAGGCAGTAGGAGTACACAGTGCTGGGCAGGAGACCTTCAGTGATGAGCAGCAGAAAGGAGAGACAAGACAGTTAAATGATGTCCTCCACCTTGCAGGGCAGTCACTGGCTCCTGAAGCCCAGTCCTCTTGCTGTTCATCGCTGCTGTTAGAAGCCACAGACTTATCCAGCTATGGAGCTAAGCTACAAAAAATGAAGGATGAATTCATAGGTTCAGCCCTGGAACTTATTAAGAAAAGGTAACATGCTCTGTGGGGTCACCTGAAAGCAGTTCCCTTGTTAACAATCTGGTCTCTCTCCTGTTATGTACATTTAACTCCTGTAGCATAAATATGCTGTTGACAGGGCCTTTCATCTTAGGGTCTCTGATAGTCACATGGCTGTGCATGTAAGCTGTTGAGCTTAAACTCCATCTTTGTGTGGGATTAAACATCAAAAAGCATTTTCATCTAGACTTTGCCTTTTTGTACACCTTAATCCTGTCCAGACAGCAGCCATTAGTAGTTCTGACACCCAGTTTCCCACCCATTTTATTTCTGTAATAAACTGTTGAAGGGTCTTTTTTAAAAAAAACCATCTGTTAAAGAAGAGGACAGCAGAGGGATACAAAGTACTAATATGATTCCTTTGAAAAACAATGTGGAGTCTATCCCACCACTGCAGGACGTGAATTTAGGTAGTGTGACATGCAGCAACAAATACTTTCACTTGCTGCCTGTATGTAGTGAACTGGCAAACAAATGAGAGGAAGATGACTGCTACGAGTCTCTAACCACCCTCTGGAGACCAGCACAGGCAGCAAGTGAAAGTACTTGCAAATACTGTCCTTCTGCCAACTCAAGACAGTGTAAGCATGGCAGAAAATACTTATATAAAGCCTTTTCCTGCTTCTCCCACCACCGTTTTCCCTTTCTCTGGGTAAGATGTTCACAAGGACTGCTTTCTCTATCATGGTTTTGGACACTGCAGTCCTGTTACCTCTCTCCTGCCAAAGAAATGGAGATCCCTTTCTATGCAGGCAGGTGACCCAAAGGGAACCAGCAAAGTTCTGGAAGCGAGGAACTAGGGGCAGTTGTCACTGTCTTATCACTAGATAAGGCTGATAATGGGAAAAAGAGCAGCAAGTGTTGGTGGAGTGGTTTGTTTCCATATGCTTGGCATTCAGGACTGTCTTCGCCAATAATTATATTTGACTCAGTTCCTGGCTGCATCTGACATCCACAGATGTGGTGCGTGAAATGCCAGGGCATCAACCTTGTACACTGACCTGGTATTTCTGGAATGCTCAAGCTCTGAAACTGGGCTCGGGTTTTAGAGGAGACAACAGTGACTTCTACACAGGAATGAGAGTCATCTGAAAAACTTTTGTGGAGCGAAAGCTCCCCATGTAGACAGAGCCAGAGTGACACTCAGAAATGCATCTGCAGCTTTATAATCCAAAGGGAAGTAGGTAGTGTCAGAGCCCTAAATGCTTCCTTCAGCTGTCTGGCCCAGCCTTTGTGCTTTTGTCCTAGAGTATGAAAACCCAATGAAGAAACAGGTGAGAAAGTTATTTTTTGCAGCCATTTTCATTGAGTAGGTTATTTTTATCATTGATATGAAATGAAATACACAGAATGGCACAAGCTGTGAGTAAGAGCATAAGAACAGCTTGCTCTGGGTAGATCTAAGGTTTGACTGGTGTATGATACGGAGCCCGAGGTGCATGCATAGCAAAGTCTGCAGAAGCTGGGTAGTGCATATGATCTTTCTTCCCACCACTCTCCCAGCTTCCAAACACTTTCTGCCCAGGGCCTTTATGTTTTCAGTGTGGTTTCTGTGCTTTTAATATCTGCAGTGGTTTTTGTTTCTGTGAATGTGTTCAGTCTTCCTAGTTGGATTGATTAAAATATATGAAGTGATTTTATTAACACCAAAATGATAATTGATCTAAAAATGAGAATGACAGTGGTTCCATGTGAATTATCCACTCTGACCTGTTCATTTTCACACCAATAACAATTAATGGTAAACGTTGTCATTTCTTCAGGATAGCAGGAGAAAGACAAACCTGTTGGCAGTGCCAAAGTACTTGTTAGTGGGAAACTCCAGCTTTCATTATCTGGAAATTTCTCAATTTTCCATTGTTTTCACCCGAGACTGTAAAGTGCCTGAATATTCATTTATAACTCAAGCTGATTCTCATTGCAGAGGTAGGAGACTTTGTCTGGATGTTTTGGGTCATAAATTATCACTGACATCCGGATCACGTTTTTTCTAAATCTCAAGTGAAATGAGCTGAAAGCTGGGGTTGTGGTCCCATTGCCACAGATACTGAGCTCAACAAGCCTTTGATAGAGCTGTTGTGATGGACTGTCACAGAATTAGACAGCTGAAATTGTCTTCTCTTTCTAGTGTTTCTGTGTGTTACAGTTTTACAATGCAGTTTTGTTTGGCAAGTTAATTACCTCCCTAGTAATTCACAGTTATTTCGTTAAGACTCATTCATATGTCGTAATCAGTGAAGATTTTATTTTCAGCTTCATAATTATGGTGGCTTTAGCCCCCTCATAGGTCACTGGATACCTTTAATTTAGGTTGTAGTCCTGGCAGGGAAGGGGTGTTGAAATCTAGGTGGACATTCTGTATGCATTTCAATATATAGGCTACTTTCTGAACTTAAGCAGCGAATTGTTCAGGTTAAGGACATGCAAGGACCTGGAGTTCCTGTCTATGTAACAGGTGACAAGGTGACAACAGAAACCTGCACAAGGAAGCAAAGGACATGACTAAGAAAGAAGGCTTCTTGAAAAGATGGGGTATATTTTGGATGACAGTGGGATGGTGGGGACAACAACAGCTTCCCATAGCAGAGGGGACTCTGAGCCTGGAAGGCAGGTACTAGCAGGGAAGGAGTGGACAAAAACATTTCCATTAGCCAGAAAAAGTCAGGAACATTTGGAAAGGGCTGAGAACTGCTGGCCTGGACAGTGATACAGCCATGAAAAATCCCATAGAGACCGTGAAAGAAAGCAGGTGTGTTTCCAGTTGTACACCACACACCCAGCGCCTCTGCTTCCACGAGATCCAGAGATGATGGCCCAGAGGTTTCAAAGGACATTCAGAGAGAACCTGTGCTCCCTGTGCTGGCCCAAGCACATAATCTATCTTGGAAAGAACAGGGAAAACTGGCACCAACCCCAGGCAGAAAACTCGTGTCCCAAGAAGTGATTTAATCCGTCAGAAAGAAACGTGCCAGAGTCCCCTCTTCTGCAGCTCTACGTGAGAGCAGAGGGGACTGCTCGAGCAGGCATTGGTGTATGCCTATTGGCAGCCCAGATCTCTGCCAAGGGGAGTGGACTGGAGGAAGGGACAATATCCTTTTATCTTGGCAATGTCCCATCTTCCTCCTAATCCAAGGGCAAAGGTTAAAGGAGCAGCCCTAAGTTTTGGTTCTCCAAAACTGCTTGTGTCCTCCTTGTTTTGCCTGTATCTCTCTGATCACACTGGTGGTGCGGTGCACAGTGACTGCTCTGTGGAGCAGCACTTAACCCCCACACAGCATGGTCAGCACATCATGCAGAAGAGATCTCATCACAACTAGAAGTAGATCAGTCAAATCAGGGATGAAGAAATCTTTCACACAACGTGGGCTCTACATCATTGCCTTTTTACCTCTAGCTGACCAACCATGGGGTAGTTTGTATTTCTCAGTCTCCAGTCACACTTAGCTCAGCTCTCTGGGTAGTATTAGCTCTTACTCCCACTGCAGGTCACGTCTGGAGATTTTTTTTTTAATCCCTATTGGGTTATGGAAGCCACAATAAGCAATGGCATCTGGTCTGCAGACCTTATCAGCAGAGGGCTGCTGTCCGCTTCACTTAGAGGAGCAGTAACACTCTGGAGTACTTTCCACATTTAAATGGATGATATCGAAATACTGTAAAAATGACGAATGAAAGCTCAGCTTCTCCCTGAGAGTATCGTGTGGATGGTGGAAGGTGGTGTGATGAAGAGGAGAAAATAATATTCCAGTTCTGAGCTCTGCTACTGACCCTGCACACATCCCATTGCTTCTCTGTGCTTCAGAATGGTCTGTTCCTTCTGCATGTTTCAACCAGAAGCTGTTTGAGCTGGAGCAGCTTTTGGCAGTGGTGGTTTTCCAGCAGTGACAGATCCTCTTCAAGAGCTTTCTTGCTCCTTACCTTCTGCGTTCCCTCCCACAGGTGTGCCCAGCTGAACTGTTCATACTTTATCCAAATCAGTGAAACATCAATGAAGTGATCTGGCTGGGAATACATGGGGGAGGATGTATTTTTAAACCCAGATAATTTCAAGACTGATTTTAGAGCATGGCCACACAGACAGTTACGCTGGACCAGCTGAAGGTGTGGTACCCCAAATGAGGCTGGGGATGGGAGGGAGGAGAGAGACAGGAACATCTTAAGCCATACAGGGCCAGAACAGTACATGGTGGGACTACAGCCTTGCTGTGTGCCTGTGCTGTTCTTACTGCAACCCTGAAAGGGGGATAATGCAGTCTGTACTACAGAGTGCTCTGTGACAGTGATGATGTTGGTGTCCCCTTTCTACAGGCTGGGTAGGAGAGGCCTGAAGGGGTGAAAGGACACTTCTAAATCCACATGGCAGGGAGTTAGTACAGTAAAAAGTAAAAGCCAGGACTGTGCATCGTGCCATTGCTGCGCAGCTGTGGCTAAACTCTTTTAAAGTTGGTAAATCCTCTGGTAGTGTCAGCTGAGACCTGGAGGCATCAATGGAGGAATATGAAAAAGCACCAGCTGGAAAGTTGTAAACCAACATTTCTGGCCTCACAACAGAGCCAGTTTGTGTTCTGGGAGATTTGTTCCCTCTTCAGCAATGTCAGTATTGGCCGATGGTTTGTTATCAGAGCCAACTGTCATTCATTGTAAGGAACTGCCCATCTGTCTCATGTGTTTGCTTGCAGCCGACAGTGCTGGAATTGTGCGTCAGCAGTATGACCTACCAGCATAAGTTCACAAGTGAAGCCTTTAAGAAGAAGCAGATTTTTGTTATAAGACTCTTTTGTTAAGCATAAAATACATACATAACCTGAAATGTGTTTCAGACACACCTGTATGTACAAGCATCCATGTCCAGTCCTCACAACCTTTTTTTTTTTAAAGGAATCCAAGCCCATAAAAATTAAGTACTCAAAATGAAAAAAAATAATATTCTTCCAAGCTGGCTTCATTATGCATGGAAATAAGGTGCGTTAGAGAGTCTGTTAAAAAAAATTATCACAAGTAGTATCACAAACTACAGCCTGTCAACTACTCTGTCAAGTCAGTGGTTTTGCACCAGACTGTCTGTCTGGAGAGGTGGTGGTGTCTACAGAGGGGAAGGTGGTGTTGGAACAGGCTGCCTGTATCAGCCAGGCCAGGCCCTTGTGAGCACCAGGCAGGCGTGAATAAGAGCATCCCAGAATTGTCAAGTGAGAACAACAGACTCTGCCAGTCTTTTCAGGACTTGTAACTACACCAAAAGGCCTGGTTTTCAGTTCACTGAAAGCAGGGGGAATCTTTCCAGTGGTTTGAGCAGGTTTGGGAGCATATGAGATGAAAAACTCAAGGAAAGTTCCTTTAATCCCCTAATCTCTTCAAAGTATTATCGTTATTAGCAGGTGATCTTCTTCCAGATGAGCAATATGGTTTCTGTGTTAACGCCACCTCTTTAAACAGCAGCAAATATGGAAATGGCCTACTTAGAAAGAGGTTTTTCTGGTCTCTGTGAGAGAACCTCATGTTTTATGGACACAAAAGTGCCCTGTGAACACCTGAGACTTGATATCCCACACTGATGCTGGCATGAGTGCAACTACCTATTTTGCACTGCTATAATTGAACTGTGTTTGGAGCCCCTGAAACACATACACATCCATGCTGACCAGTTTGGATTCCTGCCTGCACTTTCCCTGAACAACAGGTGCTGGTTGTTCAAACCTGGGCTTGCTGCTCACCCTCCTCTGTGTCAGGAAAGGTAGGTAAGCTGCATACGTGATGTTCATCAGAGTCTGCTTCTTCCCCTGCAGCTGCAATGCTGAGACTGCTGCTAAATCCCCCTCCAAGGGACAGTGTGGTCTGAGGGAAGCTGATCTCCCGCCTCCGGAGGACAGCCAGCAGCTCACAGCGATGTCCATGGCAACAGAAACCTGGGAGGACAAGCCAAGCAATGAGACATCCAGTGACACTCCACCTGCAGGGAATGTAAGGGAGAGGAGTTCTCCTCTCATCTTGAGCATGTGTTTAGGACTTTTTTCTTGTCAGTCCTTCGTTGTAGGAACTGGGCAGACTGGGAGCCTGGGATCTGAAATCACACCAGCTCCCACGAGCAATTAAACTCTGTTAGAAGCATTTTATTGCCTTTTTATTACAGTTAATGAAACAAGAGTCAGTTCTGTGTTCTTGCCTATCTGCTGCTGCATCCCTTGTAGGAAGCTCAGCAATAATTCCTTTGTGGCTTTCATTGTGCCACCAGCTCCTCATTGCTGGACTGCCTGGGAGATCAGACAGACTCCCTCCTAGTCCCCACTTGGTCAAACCGCTAATGTAGGTAAGGCATTGAGGCTGGAGTTCCTGACCCTGCAGCACTGAAATGTTCGCAGAACAGAGGCAAGCTAGCTGACACCCCTGGAGGACAGGCTTAGCCCCCTCTTTAGGCCTTTAGCCAGTCCTATGCTCTTGACTTCTTGGTTATTTGACAGCTGTGATCCAGCCACCATAAAGTCACTGTACTCAGAGCTACACAACAGCAAAGAGCAAGGGGTCCTTGCTGTTAGGACTAAGCAAGACAGAGGGACCTAGGGGGACAGATTTCCTAATGATCATGTAGCAGAGCTGCATTTACAATTCCACTGCTGATAGAGTTGCCTTTTCCTGCTTTTAGAAACCAGTTGCCGCTTTGACCACCTGCTTGCTCCAAACCCACTTGCTTTTCTTGCAGACCCCTAGTCCTGGCTGCCGCCGATCCAGCTCCGACATCGTCCATGAGAGCACGGATGGTGCCAAGGCCCAGCGAGAGTGCCGGCTGCGGCCACACTTCAGTGATCCGATGCCGACAGACTCAGTGAAGAGGAAGCAGCTGGAGCTGAAGATTGCAGCTGCAGCACGGCAGCATGCACAGAAGCGCCGGCAGGAGCGAGACTACGGTACTCACATTCTGCACACTCAGAGGGGGATGGTGGGCCAAATGCTACTAGTGTAGATACAGAGTGACTCTAATGTAACGCTCCCTAGAGGAGGGAAGTGTTCTGGGTTTAACCCAGGTGTGCAAGAAATCAGGATCTGCTCTGCTGCATCTCTGCCCCTGTTCATAGGTATGGGCCGAGCAGGGATGACAGGTTTCACCTGAGAGTGATTTACTTTTGACCCCTGCCCTTCCCAGCAGCACAACAGAAGGGAGGGCAGCTAACAACCCTGCTTTCACCAAGTCTCTACCACCACGGTTCCTACCACTCATGGCTGTGCCAACTTGAGCTCCTCAAATGAGCCCTGTGCAGCTCACAGTGCCTGTAATGATTTGTGTCTGTTCTCAGGTCCAGTGGTAGCAAAAGCCAACCTTGGCCATGGTGGCAGCTTTGATGAGACCCGCCGTGCCCCACGTGGCTCTCTGCGCTCCAGACATCATTGGAGCAATGTCAGCAGTCTGAGCACAGACAGTGGGATTGTTGGTGTGAACGATGTCCGGGACGACCTGGATCCCAGCGAGGCCACCCGGACCAAGTCGGCGGATGTGGAGAGGGCAGATAGTGGCATTGGCCAGATGCCAGCCCGAAAGTGGAGGAACAGGGCATCTGAAACACTGAGCTCCCTGCAGGCCTGGGAAGCCCACCGTCCCTGCACTGACTGTGGAGAGAGGGACCTCCCGGTGGAGACGGATGTGCAGAACTGCAATCAGAGGTGGGCTGACCTCTGTGAGAAGTGCCGCAAGCGCAGGACGGAGCGCAAGGAGTCTGTGCTGGAGTTTGTCAACACGGAGGCTAGCTACGGAGAGGACCTGCGTATCATCAAAGAGGAGTTCTACCTCCCCATGCAGGCGGCTGGGCTACTGAGCCAGGAGCAGCTCCTGGGCATCTTCAGCAACATCCAGGAGCTCATTGACCTCAATGAGAACTTCCTGGAGGTACTCCAGGAAGAGATTGATCAAGCCTTTGACCAGGTATGGTGCTGCATGCTCTACAGGGGCCAGACCAGGCAGATGGGAATAGCTTTTGCCTTAATAAGGCAGCATAGATGGAGCAGGAGATCAAGAGGTAGGACTCCTGGGTTCTGGTCATCTGCCCAGTCCCTTCCTTCCTCAGCTGTTATAAACCAGTGATTTCCATAGGCCTGTGCCAGGTCACAACTGCTGGCCTCATGCTCTGCTCTGGTAACTCCACTGACACTAGCAGGCCATCAGCAGTCTAGCTCATTTGTCTCATTAACAGGATCTAACTGTCCCATTACCAAAGTTAGCTTTAAGACAGCTTGGACACTGATAAACGTGTGACTATAGGGGCACAGAGCTCAGCTTGGTCTGGCCACCAGAGGGATGGAGGGGACCAAGCTCAGAGGCCATGCTCTTGCCCAACCCTTAGTTGGCTTGCTTTAGGCTGGCTTGGGTGTATTTGCCTTGGGCTGCAGTTTATTGTAGCTTGCCTCTAGGCTGGCTGTGGGGCCAGACAGCACAGGCTGCTTCTTGCTCTGGTGACAATTGGCCCTTACAGCTCCATGTACCAGCTGCCTTGCACAAAGGACTCTCCGACCCCATGCATGTGGTGGTCAGGGGGCAGAGAAATAGAAATAAGACTTCAGAGCAGCAGACAATCACTGCAAAGGACACATAAACAGCTCCACACCCTCCTTTCTTCAAGAAACCCAAACCCACTTGTTGCTCTTTCAGTCTCACCAGGATGTTTTGTTCTCTAGGAAACACATCCTTCCTTTCCCTCTCTGAAACCCTGCACATCAGACCAGGTGACATGTCTCAAAAACTGGCAGCTTTGACAACCACTCTCATGCACCTGGCACAGTGAAGACAGTTGTGCACTGAGATGTGATGTGATGTCCCCTGTGAATAATTTATTCAGATGGCAGCTTCTACAAACAGCCATGGGTTTCCCTGTCTCCTCCTCCATGTGGCCCTTTGCAGTCAGAGCTCAGTACTGCACCAAAAAGCCGCCAGGAGCCAGAGAGCTGCTCCCTCTCTCGCTGCTCAAATGAGTAGTGCTTGCAGAGCATGTCAGCATACATCTAGACAAAGCGAAGAGCATTATGTGGCACCAGATTCTTACTATTCCCTTATTTTATTACACATCCAGAAAAAAAGAGAAAATCAGAGAAAAATTTACGATTAAGTTTATTTTTCACTTAGGCATCAAACTAGCCAAAGCACAACGGAATGAGACTGCTTCCCAGCCAGAGCAGTTGCTGAGAGTAGTTGCAGTTGTTGTGAAGTGCCATGTCTGTTACCTGAGTTACAAGCCTTCTACGCCCATTTGCTTCTAAACGCTGTTAATTTATGCACTGCTGCATTAGCCTTATGGCAGACCTGCTGGCAAGAAGGGCCCCAGCACACCCTGTTGACTAGCACGCTCACTAGCCTCTGGGCTTTCAGCCCCTGCTCTGGTGAGCTGGCCGAACCCACTGAAGCAGAGAAGAGACATCTCTTTAGGTGTAGAAAAGCAAGCAGTTAGACCAGCTTTCCTTCCCTCCCTGCACACTGCTTCCCCCAGGACCTGCAGGGACTGCCTTTCCAACAGGAGAGGTAAGCCCAGCTCCGCCTTTGTTGTGGTGTTCACCAGATCCTGCAGTAGGTTGATGCTGATAGGACTGAACGCAGGCGCCGTGCTTGTGCCTCTCCCGAGCTAACCCAGCAGGGGCTGTATTGCGTGCTTGCAGGGTGATGATGACCTGATGACCGTGTGCATCGGCGAAATATTTCTAGAGTTCGTCAACATGCTGCCAGCCTTTCAGACCTACTGTCTTCAGCAATCCTCCTCTGTGAATATGCTCAATGCGCTGGAGAAGGAGAAAGAGTTGCTCAGGTGAGAAA